CTCTCTCTCTCTCTCTCTCTCTCTCTCTCTCTCTCTCTCTCTCTCTCTCTCTCTCTCTCTCTCTCTCTTTTCCTTCCCCATCCCGCTCTGCCCTCCTGACAAATCCTATCACGACACAACTATAGGAACGGGCAAGCATGACAGCCAGAGGTACCAGGGGAACAGGGAAAAAGTCAAGGTGACGAAATGAAGGAAATGTTTGCCCAGTTTCTGGAGGACATCAAGAATGAGATGCAAGAAATGATGCAGGAAATGAAGAACGAAATAAGCAACCTGAAAAGAGAGCTGATAGCAGCAAAGGAGAAGATTAGAGCCCTCAAAGAGAATGGTATCGAGGCTGAGACTCAGAAAATAATCCAGGGAGAAGGTGGTAATAGTTTTTTGGATGAGAATGCCACAATAAAAGCAACATTTGCAGAAATGCTAAAAAAAATAACTCTGAAGTAATGACTGCAGTGATGGAGGTGGCCATAAAAGCAGCCACCTCACAGGAGGAGGCACGCTCCACTAGCCAACTGTTGGAAAGGAACAGATCAGTGGTTGCTGTGGGCATTAAAGAGCAGGAAGGCTCCAATAGGACAGAGTGGAAGGACAAGGACAAAGCGGCAGTGAATGAAGTGCTGAAGGCACTAGACATGGAAGGGGCTGGGCATAGCATTGAGAAGGTTTTCAGGCTAGGTTGGTACAACAAAGACCGAGACTGAGTGATAAAGATAGTGTTTGCAAACGAGAGCACAAAGGAGAAGATACTATCAAGGAAGAGCTCCCTGAAAAACGTGGGAAAATTAAAAAATGTATTCCTCCAGAGAGACATGACGAGTGAGGAGAGAGCCAGGGCAGCAGAAGCAAGGAAGAGGCGCAGGGCAAGAGGAGAAAACCAGGAAGTCACAGCTCCCAACACAACATTCCCAGAGGCGAGGGGGGAACCTACAACCAGCTACCCAGTAACACCAGAGGGAAGGACAACCCCGCCACCCTCCTCTGCATAGAAAACCCCCCTACCCCAAACCCTCCTTGCCCCCACTCAAATGTTCAGCCAAATCTCCCTCCCCCCACACTCAATCCCCACCCTTCTACCCCTCCCCTCCTCTCGCCGAGTCCTCCCTCCCCCTCTTTCCTTCCTGTCCTCCCTTCCCTTTCACCCCAGACCCTCCCTGTCCCTCCCCCTTCACTGGATACCCCGCCCCTCATCCCAGTATCCTCTGAGACCCTGTTATCAACCTCACAGGTCCTTACACCCATGGAACAGCTTCCCCCACCAGCAGAACACTCACCAAGGAGGCGATTTGAGAAGGGACAGAAGAAAGTGAGCCTCAAAGCAATGTACACTAACATAGAAGGAATTACAAATAAAGCAAATGAACTTGGAGAATGTGTATGGAATGGAATGTATGGAATGGAAAGAAAGAGAAGGAGAAGGAGGTGGGAATGGTAAGGCTGGCATTTTGAGGAGATGGTTATTCAGGGCTGTGAAGGTTTCAGTGACTACATACCAGGTACCATAACAAATGGAGGGAAAAAAATTATAGTCGTAGTTATATATAATCCACCACCAAATGGCAGAAGACCCACACAGGAATATGATAGAAACAACATGGCCACCATTAACATAATAGAAAGAGCAACTTCTGTTGCTAGCAGGAATGGATCTGGAATACTAATTATGAGAGACTTCAACCATGGGAAGATAGATTGGGAGAACAGAGACCGGCATCGAGGACCAGAAACATGGAGAGCTAAGCTGCTGGACGTGGCAACAAGAAACTTTCTAAGTCAGCACATCAAGGAACCAACAAGAATGAGAGGAGATGAACCAGCAATGCTTGATTTTATATTTACCCTAAAATAGTGGGATATAAGGGAAGTTAAGATGGAAGCACCCTTGGGAATGAGTGACCACAGTGTATTGAACTTTGATTACCTGACTGAGCTAGGAATTATCTCCCCCCAAAAAAGAATTAGGAATCAAAAGGCTGGCATACCGAAAGGGGAATTATGAACAGATGAGAAATTTCCTAAGGGAAATGCCTTGGGACACAGACCTCAGAGATAAGTCTGTACAGGGTATGATGGACTATGCTACCCAAAAGTATCAGGAGGCAATAAACTGGTTCATCCCGGCCCAAAGGGAAAAATCCGAGAAGCAACAGAAGAATCCATGGTATAATAGGGCATGTATGGAAGCGAAGAAACTGAACCAAAGGGCGTGGAGGAACTTCTGGAATAACAGAACACCAGAAAGCAGCGAGAGATACCAGAGAACCAGGAATGAGTACGTCAGGGTGAGAAGAGAAGCAGAGAAAAGTTTTGAAAATGATATAGCAAACAAAGCCAAGACCGAACCAAAGCTACTCCACAGTCACATCAGAAGGAAAACAACCGTGAAAGAACAGGTATTGAAACTTAGAACAGGCGAGGACAGGTATAGAGAGAATGACAAAGAGATGTGTGAAGAACCTAACTAGAGGTTCCAGGAGGTCTTCACAATAGAACAAGGTGA